TTAAGCGTGTCAACACCGCCAGACCTCTGGCAGATGGCATGTAAACCCTGCTCACCGAGGCTGTGGCTTCCCCTGGGTCAGGGCCAGGCGCTCTTTCAGACGGACGAAGACATTTTCGGCAAAGCGGCAGCAGACTGTCCGCATATTGTCGGCGCCGAGGCAGTAGACGTAGCAGCCTCAAACAAAGTAGTCTGGCCAAGCTTTCTGCATCTCCACTTTCCACTGCTTCCACACTTTGCTGCCCAGTCTACCGGATTCAACGCCTACGGCATCCGACATCTCACACTCTCAACCTGTTTCCAGTCCGACTATGATGTTTCCCACATGGAGGAGGACCTGGAGGAACTCTGTGCCAGAAGTATTCTCCCCTTTCTCTCCTCATTCTGCTTCTGCCCTGCCGGTGACAGCGGTGGCGGAGTAGCACTCACAGCTTTGGATATTTCTGCTGAGTTGGCGTTCGGTCTGTGCTCTGCTCTGGCGAACTGTTCTGCAGATAAGAGCTTGGCTACCGTCCAGGAGCTGAGCATTGGGAATCAGACAGGGCTTGGTATACACGGCTACCGTCTGCCAGCATACCTGCCGCCTGTGCGCAGTCTGGCGCGGTTGCTTCGCCTATTCCCAGCCCTAACATGTATGCGTCTATATTGCAAGCGGTTGATTCGGTGCGCCAGCATGGAGGAAATAATGCGTAGCTATGCCGGCGCCCACCTCCAACGTCTCTTCGTGTGTACGCGCTTTGGCGGCCGATTTTTGCCGGCTTTGCCGCCCAATCAAATCAGCGCCCCCCTTCTAGACGTATTAGCACTCTACTACGGCAGTCCCATAATATCTGATGATGAGAAAGAGGGTCGAGAGGACACTGACGAGAAGCAAAATGAGAATAAGGATGGGGAAGAGGATGAGAAGGACGCGGAAGGGGAAATAGTTGGACCCCACAATAGAGGAGAACAGCAGGATGGTGGGAAAAAGGAAGACGAAGGGATTTGGGCAAACAACGGGGCGCGGAGAGAAGCGGCTGAGTTTCCGGTCCTCCCTACTGGCGTCCGTGTGCGGCACCTAGCAATCGCACTCAGCAAGGAAAAACTTCCCGACAAGGCCTGTCTGGATCAGTTCTTTCAATCGATTCCCTGTCTGGAGTGGTTTGTGGTGATTGTTCACGATGACGACAAAACTCTTTTTTGGCATCGGGAAACGGCGGGTCCAGAGGCGGAGGAGAATAGACGTCAAAAAAAGCTAAACGAAACCAAAACATTCATCGAACGGACGACTGCAGTGCTTGCGCTGAATGAAGCCCATCCTGAGCTATTCGGTGTGTTTTGGAGGGAACTGATTGACATTAATGTTCTTTCACTGTCGTAGCTATACAAATAAAACATTTTGCAAACGACTAAGCTTGTCACTTTCACGCAAAAATAAGACATTTTCCATGTGTACTCTCTTGGCATTGCGGCAGGGTGAATAGGGGATGGGAGAGTGTGTCAAATGCCGCACAGTTGCCTGTCACCGTAAACTCGATCGTGCTCAAATCGAAATGTTATCTAAGTATGCCGATAACAACTACCGAAACGAACAAGAATGACTGGA